CTTCATTTGGTCTTCAAATAACTTTTCAGAGTGGATAAAGCTTTTATTGTTTTCACTTGCAACTGGCAACAATCAAGCTTTAAATAAATATCAGTATCTATGACAATTCTATAGCCAAAACATTTTCTCTATTTTACTTACAAGGAAACTGAACGAGATTCCAAAGTGTCAAACAACTTGCCAAAAAGTCAGAAAGTAACTTACTATTCTAGAACTCAAACTCAAGTCTTCTGATTTTATTTTAAACACCCTGCTTTAAAAAACAGGCCAAAGGACAAAGTCACTAGGTAACAATCTCCTAGTTCCTCAGAATGCTTTCTCATGCTGTCATCCTGGAATCCTTAAAAGCAGTATGGCATCTATAATTTTAATACAGAGGTCCGCAGGCTGCAGAAAATTCCACTGCAGCTTGCTTGGCCGACCTCACCACTTCCAGTTCCACTGCTTGGCCGGCCTTGCAATCCGCATCAGAATTCCAGTTCGTTTGCTTGGTCTGCCCTGTGAAAATCCTGGGGCCTGCGTGGTATGATTAAGAACATTGCTGACGTAACTTGTATGAACTCCCTTACTTGCTTGTAAACTCCTTAAAAGTAATTTTTTTCCCCTGGCCCTTTTAAAGCAGTCTTAGCGGCAATAGCCCCAACTGGTTCCTTCCTTGGGGAACGAAATAAAGGCATCTTTATGCTCTCCCACCCACCTCGGTCTCCCGTTTATTGGCCGATACAAGTCACACTGAGCAAAACCTGAGGTTTCCACCTGGTAACAATTTCTCCTACTAGGTGGTTACTATGGATTGAACTGTGTCCCTCAAAAATATGTGTTGTAAACCCTAACTCCTACACCTGTAAATAAGGGAGCCCTGGTGGTGCAGTGGTTAAGTGCTCAGCTGCTAACTGAAAGGTTGGAGGTTTGAACCCACCAGCTGCTCCACGGGAGAAAGATGTGGTAGCCTGCTTCTGCAAAGATTTACAGCCTCGGAAACCCTTCGGGCCAGCTCTACCCTGTTCTATAGCATCACTATGAGTCTGAATTGACTCTACAGCAACGGGTGTTTCTGGTATACCTGTAGATGTAATCCCATTTGGGAACAGAATTTTCTTTGTTATGTTAAAAATATAAAAGAGCAGATTGGGCACAGAAAGAAAGCAAGAATGAGGGAAAAACAGATGCCACACAGAGATTTCCAAGAAAGAATGCTAGAGAAGCTGAGACAAGGATTTCCCCTGAGCAGACAAAGAGAGCCTTCCCCTAGAGCTGAAGCCCTAAATTTGGACTTCTAGCCTCCTAAACTATGAGAAAATAAATGTCTTCATTAAAGCCACCCCTTGTGGAATTCCTGTTACAGCAGCACTAAGAAATTAAAGACAATTATCAACTTCATAATCAACATATAAAAGGGCATCTGGTTCATACCGACAGCATTCCAGAAAAATATCTGCTGAATTAATAAAACAATATCATGTCACTTTAAACAATAATATTGTAATGGGCAAGCTGATCCTAAAACGCACATGGAAATACAAAGGACCTCAAATAGCCAAAACAATCTGGGGGTGGGCGGGGACAAAACTGAAGGACTCATAATTCCTGATTTCAAAACTTATTACAAAGCTTCAGTAATCAAAACCGTCTGGTACTGACATGCAGACAGACATATAAACCAGCAGAACAGAATTGAGAGTCCATAGATAAAACTTAGATATCTAAGTCAACTGATTTTCAACAAGGGTACCACAGCCATTCAACGGGAAAAGAATAGTTTTTTCAACAAATAGTGTTGGAAACCTGGATACCCACGTGGAGGAAAAAAAAAAAAAAGGAGGTGAACACCTATCTCACACCACACAGAAAAATTAACTCAAAATGGATCAAATATCTAAATGTATGAACCAAAAGTATAAAACTCTTAGAAACACAGGGGTAAATCTTCATGACCTTGGTTCAGGCAATGGTTTCTTAAATATGACACCAAAACCCAAAACCAAAGAAAAAACATAAATTATACTTCACCAAAATTAAAACTTTTGTGTATCAAAAAAAGGCACTATCAAGAAAGTGAAGACAATTCACAGAATGGGAGGAAATATTTGCAAATTATATAATCTGATACGATTCTAGTATTCAGAATATATAAAGAACTCTTACAACTCAACAATAACTAGACAAAACAACTCAATTAAAAAATGGACAAATGACGTGAACAGACACTTCTCCAGTGAAAATACACAGACGGCCAATAAGGCCCATAAGCACATGAAAAGATGCACAACGTCATCAGTCATTAGGGAAAAGCAAATCAAAACCACAATGAGACACTGCTTCATACCCACTAGGAGGGCTATTATAACAACACACACACACACACACACACACACACACACACAAAGTCTAAGTTTTGGCAAGGATGTGGAGAAATTCTAACTCTCATACGTTGCTGGTGGAAATCTGTGGAAAACAGTCTGGAGAGTTATGATATGACCCAGAAATTCTACTCCTAGGTGTTTACCCAGGAGAATTAAAAACATATGCTCACATAAAAACTTACACGCAAATGTTCACAGCAGCATTTTTCATAACAGCCAAAAGGTGAAGACAAGCCAAACGTCCATCAACTGATAAATGGATAAACAAATGTCGTATAGCCATACAGTGGAATATTACTCAGACATAAACCAAAACCAAAACAAACCTGTTGGCATCAGAATCGATTCCAGCTCATAGCGACCCTACAGGACAGAGTAGAACTGCCCCATAGGGTTTCCAAGGAGTAGCTAGTGGATTCGAACTGCCAATCTTTTGGTTAGCAGCCGAGCTCTTAAGCACTGCACCACCCGAGCTCCATTCAGACATGAAGAGGAAGAATTACTGACCCATGTTACCACACGATGAACCCTGAAAATGTTATGCTAAGTAAAAGAAACCAGACACAAAGGGCAACACACTGTAGGATTCTGTATATACAAAAGGCCCAGGACAGACAAATCCATAGACCCAAGTATTAGTGGTTACCAACGGATGAAAGAATGAGGCAATTGGAAGATATGGGGGCTCCTTTTTAGGGTTTTTACTGACATCATTGAAAGCCCTATTCACACTGCTTCCCCAATACTACTCACCTATCTTCAGGAATAACCACTATCATGAAACATATACACCACATTTTCAGCGTGATGGAAATGTTCTGGAATTAGATAGTGGTGATCTAATATTTCAGTTAGTGGTGATCCATTCAACACTGAATACATTAAAAACCATTCAATTAATTATACACTGTAAAATGGTTAAAATGGTGAATTTATGTTAGATGAATTTTGCCTCAATTAAAAAACATTAAATATAAAAAAAGGCTGAAAGATAGTGAAGATTACCAGTTAGGAGACTACTTCTCCAATGGTTCAAACTCATGGTATGATAATAGAAAATAAAGAAAGCAAACCTATACGGACAGCACAATATCTGTGTTCCTTAAAAGCATAAAAAAATTTAGAAATATGTAAAAAATATGAATGGTAGTTGTCTCTGGGCAATTTTTTTTCTTTATAGGTATTTTTCTATATTGTCTTAATTTCCCACAAAGAGGATATACTATTTTTTTAGTTTATTACAAAATATTTCAAACATATAGAAGAGTAGAGAATAATTTAACAGTCGTGAGCCTAGTCACCCAGACCTACAAATGTTAATATATCATATTTGCAACAGATAGTTCTATCAAAATCATTTTTACTGACATAATTGAAAGCCCTATTCATACTGCTTCCCCAATACTACTAAGCCATCCTCAGGAATAACCACTATCGCGAAGCATATACACCACATTTTCACACTTTCATTATAAACATGTATAAACAAACAATACACAGTACAGTTGTACTGTTTAAAATTTAAATAAGTGATATCATACTGTACATAATCTACTGCCATTTTTCTACTTCACATTATATTGTCAAGCTCTATCTGGATTTACACCCATTATTTTTATAACTTAAGAAAATTATATATTTTTAAAGGGCATTATGAATGACTGGGGTCCCAAAATTTCAAGCTTTCTCAGCTGCACACAATACATAAAAAGTTTGTTTTTAAGCATTTTAAGCATCTTTGATGATTACAACACCAATAGCAGCACCTGCCGCTTGCCACCATCTTCATCTCCACAGGTACTTTTTTCCTTTTCTTTTCAAGATTAAGTGATTGTCTTTACTGAGTGACCGCAAACATTCTCCTCTGGAATTCCTTGCCAAGCAATATATCCACTAGTCAAGTAGTTTTAAAATATGTAAACTAGTTATTAAAGAGAAAACTCACACTGCCATTCATCTACCTGCCTAAAAATACACTTAATATATAAAACCATATCAACACAAATTTTTTTACTATTTCCACCACTAAAAAGTATGAACATAAACTAAAGCTCAAATAATAAATGAATGAATGCAAGCTTTAAGATGAACCCAGCAATAAGTAGCATCATTTTCCATGTAAAAGTAACAAAATTAACTATGTTTCAATAATTTACTAATAGCAAAATAAATAATGCTAGTTTTGGAAACAATTTGAAATCCCAAGCCACTGAACCACATTTCAACTTTCCTAAGTAGCTATTTCTTACCTCCTTCCCCTGAAACAAATCAAGAGTTTATCTTTTGATAATCCTTTTTTTGAGCTATAATTTATAAATTAAGGATATTATCGTGATCTATAAAACAGGCACGACAGTATGTACCTCACAGGATTGTTGTGAAAATGAAATTATACACACACACACACACACATATAAAAAACTAGAGAGGGAAAAACGCCTGACATATTTTTACTGTTACCAACTATTAAATTTATTATGAACAGGAACAATGATCTCTACATGCAACTATAATTGATGAAACACAAATGTGGGGTTAAGCTTTTTACCTCAGGTAGGATCTAAGTAATACAGCCTACACTAATTTAGCAGAAAGGTCATGGGTATTAATGGTAACAAAACATTAAGTGTTACTTACCCACAAGTAGTACGTGAACTGAAGTGCAAAAATAGCAATGCCTTCATTATCAAAGGATCCAGCTACTGACCGAGATATGTAACCTGGTACAATAGCAATAAAACAAGCAGCTAAAAGTCCTGCTCCTTGGTTCCAAAGTTCTCTGGTAAGCAGGAAAGTAGATATAGATGTAAGGCCGCTAAAAGTTGGTGCAAGGAACACACATACATCTCTTATATGAACTGTTATGTTCAATGTATTTAAAATCCAATGAATAAGGCCCGCTGTTATCATCAATCCTGGGTAAACCTAGAAAGAAAGAAAATAAATAAATAAAAGGAAAATTTAATCACTATATATAAAATGAAGTATCTAAAAATACGAACATAAGTTCTCTTCTTTATTATCATTACACAGTCTTTGTAATAAGTTTGAGAACAAGACCTCAAAAACGTTTGCCTTCTTTGTATACTACAAAATAAAATGTTCCTTTTGGATTGGATGCTAAAGAAAAAGCTCAAATATAGAGGGATACATATATCAATAGAATGCGAAAGATAAGACAGAATATAAAAGAGGAATGATTAAAACTGAAATGTGTATCAATGAAAACTATAGGTAAATTTCCTACTTAATAGTAGGTAACTTTCCTACTGATTCTGCTAACTCCTTTTTTTTTGCTTTCACTTCAAAACAGGGTCTTAGTCTATCTTACCCTCAAATATGGGGTTTTAACACATCCCAATTTTGCCCATAGTTGTATGTGTAAAAGGAAATGAGTAAAAGCAGAAAAGATGAAGAAAACTTAGGCAGCAAAATGAATTATGAGGTATTTATAAATAAGCCTTCCCTCTTTTCAAGCCCAAGATTAAGAAAGTAAACAATTTTGGCTATGGAAATAAGGACCAGCCAGTTGGTGAATTCAAAGATCAATGATTTAGGACTCCCGGAAGGATGAAAGTTTTTATGTCACAAAGTGCTTAGGGAGGGGAAGGAAATAACTCCACTGGAAGGGCCCGTTAACAGTGATTCTCCTTCCCCTCTCCTTTAAAGAGGAATAGCCAACAGAAAGAGTATTCAAAGAACAGTCAACAGGACATTATTCCTGAGTTATTCTTCAGTGATTAAAATGTGCATTTACATTTGCACCCTTAGCTAAATCCTAAAAGAGCCGTTTCTTCCTCCATCACTGAAACTACAAAGACAATGCTATAAATTTCTTTCACCAGTTACACTACGTAAAACTGCAATCCCTCACGTCCTTAGCCCACCTCCCTGACTTTTCTTTACAGCACTTACCACCATCTGACATACTATTTACTTATTTACTGTCTCTTAACTGCTCTCCCTCACTAGACTATAAGCTCCAGAAGCAGCAGGAAATCTTCCCCCAGCCATTGTAGAACAGTGACTGCCACAAAACAGATGCTCAAGACCTACTCAATGCATGGACAGAAGGAAGGGTGGAGGGAGGGCAAAACTGTGGCAATTCTTTAGCGTTCTCAAAAAAAAAATTAGAGTTTTGTTCTATATCACATTTAATTCCAGGTCTCCGGGTAAGATTCTGTCAGAAACCTTCAAAGAAAACAGAAGTGAATTCGAAAATACTTCTCAAGGTAAGTCAATTATTTCCATGCAATATGGTAGTCAGAGATGATACACCAAAATACATTATGTAGAAATAATGAGGAAACTTCCCCCACCAAAAAAAGTAAGGCATATTTCAAGCTCAAAAGAAAGGGAATTCTCCAGATGCCAGAAATGAAGAGGAAATGCAAAGTGGTACTGATGCCATGGGGGCCCACAGGAGAAAAAGACAAATCAGACCGTTCCAGGTCTCAGGGACTGGACGCTGGGGACTGTAACTCAAAATAGACATCAGAGAGAAAGTTTAGTTCCCAGCACAAGCCAGGCCGTGGAAGGGATGTCCTGTTTACAAAACTAGATCAGACAAATTCTACTCATCCATCAAGGGAAGCAGTAAGAAGTCTGCCTTCTTCCAGAGCTCTGAGTAGAAACAAAACACTACAGGAGAAGGAAGAAAGCCATTTCCATGTGTGAATGTGGCTTCCACGTTTACAACGACGTTGGGTATAAGAAAACTCAAGATGAGAAATGGCCTCTAAAAACTCCCCTAAAGCCAGTGAAATCCCTAAAGGCTCCAGCAAAGGCAAATGAGAAAAATTATGAAATGGAAGGCCCCAAATCCCAGGGCACCAGGAGTCTCAGAAAACAAGCTTCTGTTGAGGATGAATTCAAGATAAAAAGCTATAAACTGGCACAGAGTAAGGGACTAGCTAGCTTGCAAGCCACATGGTACTGCCTGGCTAGAAGGGGCTCCCAAGCCGAGAAAAGAAAAAGAAAACAAACAAATCAAAACAGAACAAATCAGAGCAACAAACAAACAAAAAAGCCCCGGGGGTCCCCCCAGTGTGGCAGCAGGGTCTGGGAGGCACTTTCACAGTCCAGCGGTGTTTTGCAGCCTTTCAGGAAGAACCAAGGACAGTAGACGGAGCCAGGCATTTGAGAGAAAGGAGGGGGAGGTGATGAGAGGTAAGGAAGAAATCTAAAGAAGCAGAAAAAAGCAACACCAGCAGCCAACAAATGGCACCCAGGGAGCTGGCCAGTGCAGGTAAATGGATAGACAGAACAGTACTTGGTATAATTAAAGTGCTCAAAAATTATCATCATCATCATCTAGAACTAGAGGGAAAAGGAAAATTTTCACAAACATTTTCATTGCTTGGTGGGGTGCAATAAATTACTTAATATGGATCTTCTAGCCATAGTCTTTGTGACTCCCATACAATGATTGGGTGGGACTCTGCAAATAAGGTGCCTGTGGACCACCAAGGGAATTGGACAGCTTGCTGCTAATGCAAATAAAGTGCATGGAACCCTGCTGGGGTTGGACAATGTAACTAAGGTGTATGAAACCCTAATGAGGGAATTGGTCAGTTTTGCCTCCTAGCTGAGCTTAAAAGAGAGCCAATCCCAGAACAGAGTGGGACCTGGCTACCACCAAGAAGAAGAGCTAAGAGTGGAGCCCGTCATTTGGACCCAAGATTCCTGCGCTGAGAACCTCCTAGAAGCAGGAGTCAGAGAGAGAGAGCAATAACACAGGAGATGGTGAGAGACAATGAGAAGCAGCGGCAGAGAAATAGAGGCAGCAGAACCAGCAGAGCAACAGGAGATGGTGCAGTGGGCTTCCTGGCCCACAGAGCAAGTGGCTGTGCTGACCCATGGAGCTAGACAGCTGAACATCTTTGAGCTGAGGCTTACTGGTGGAGTGGGTTGCCTCTGGACACTTATCAGTAGAGATTTGTAACACTTGCTTGAACAGTGCACAGGCCGGGCCAGCCCAAGAGGCTCAAGGGGACGAGGGGCCAAGGGCCAGAGAGACCTGCCTGCGGCATGGCTGAGAAGAGAGTGTCCTGATCAAAGAACTGTACGAGTGTTCCTGAACCCAAATTGTAACCTATTACTTCCCTAATAAACCCCATGACTGTAAAAAAAGAAAAAAAAAAAAAAAAAAAGCTATAAACCACACACAGCAACTACAGTCATCAAATACTAAAACGATAAAGTATATAACAGGATTAGCACCACAAGAACTGCAGGTAATAGACATTTACCACACCTCGCCTTCAATACTCAGATCCTCTCTACCTGCACACTGGAGACCATCACGACCACTCTCACTGTGCCTTTATCATCGCTATTATATCAAAGACATAGAAGATCCCCCTAACTAGAAATGCAGCACTTTACCAACAAAGAAAACACATCGTTTCCAAAAACAGAGAGAATGTTCATAAATTTTGGCTATATCCCAGGTCACAAATCAAGTCTCGATAAATTTCAGAGAACTGAAATGTACAGAATTTGTTCTCTAACCACAATATATTTGAAGCAGAAATTAAAAAAAAAAAAGATAACTAAGAAATCCCCTTATGCTGGGAAATTAAATATAATTCTAAATAACCTGTGAGTCAGAGAAAATTTTAATGGAAATTAAAATGTTTTGAATTAAAGAATAATGAAAATACTACATATATATATCAAAACTTATGGAATTCATGATCAGGGCCACAACAGATGGACCCTGATAGAATGGGAGAAAAATGTGGACCAGAACCTCAAGCTCCTAACAAAACAAAAAAGAACAGACTTACTGGACTGGTTGAGACTGGAGGACTCCCCAAGATTATTCCCCTGAGATACTCTTTAAACCAAAATAAAGAATACCACCTGTGAGTACTGTGCCACTTTGAAAACACATCTGTGTATGAGACCAAATGGTCAGCAATTACTTTAAAACAAAGATAAGAATGTAAGGGGGCAGGGAAACTAGATTAACAGACACAAAACAACTAGAATGGAACTATTGAGAATGTTCACATATTATGAAGAATGTAACCAATATTACTGAACATTTTGCATAGAAATTGTTGAATGGGAACTTAACGGCTGTGTAGTTTTCACCAAAAACACAATAAAATATTAAAAAAAAAACTTACGGAACGCAGCTAAAGCAGTGACTAGTGGAAGACTTATACCTTTAAAATGCGTATGTAAATGAAGAAAGATTAAAATTGAGCAAATCAAGAAGTCAGAAAAAGAACATCAAAATAAACTCAAAAAAGTGAAAGACGGAAATAACAAATAGAAATAAAACAGAAAACAAACACGTAATAATCAGCAGAGTCAAAAGTTTTGAGTTTAAAAAAAAAACCTAATAAAATTGACAAAACTCTTCAAAATTCTCCTTACATTCCAAATCCTAATCTTTTTTTTTTTTAATGTCATCTTCTGGTCATCAGAATTCCCCATGAACTATATTCAATCACTGTTCAATTATCTGGAGTATTTTAAAGTGATCGACCGCTAGCCAAAAGGTCAGCAGTTCCAAACCACCAGAGGCTCCTCGAGACAAAGATGTGGCAGTTTGCTTCCACAGAGATTTACAGCCTCAGAAACCCTACGGAGCCACTGAGGTGGAATCGACTCGATGGCAGTGGGTTTGCTTTTGGTTATTTAGGGAAGATGTGGAACCTAGAAAATCAGAATTATCTGATTATTCTAAATTTCTATCTCCTTCCAACAGATTATTTTCAACTGAGTTGCTACGAAAAATAACACAAAAACACATAAATAACCCCTACTTGAGATACACTGTGTGGCAGTAGACCCCATGAGTTGTCAGAAATAGTGGCTAATGTAAGATAATCCAAAAAAACAGGTGGTGAGGAAGAAAGAGGGTTCAAGAAAGAACCTAATTAATTATTATTAGATAATTAGCCACAGAAAAAATATTAGTAACTATACAAAACTTTCAAGAATCTCTACCACCACCTTATCAATTAATGATTTCATCAATTAACTATAGACTGTTCTGATTAACATAAATAATTGCTAATATACTTACAGTACCACCTACTATTCTTCCTAGTGGATACCATGCTCTTTCATCAAACCAATTTAAAAATTCATAGAACCCATGAGAAGCAAGATGATGTGTTGATCTATAGTTAAACCTAGAGAAAAAGAGGAAAAAAGGAATGTTAAAAAACTGCTTACTAGAAAGATATAGCTCTATCTTTCTGTGTATTTGTATTATATTATGTAACTCTATGGCTACATATTCTATACAACTTTTCTCAAACTTCAACAGATTTTTAAGAGTATGATTACACCTTGAACAAAACAAAAAACAAAAAAACAAAACAAAGCTCCCACATCCAAAAGAAAACCCCACACCTACAAAACCAGTCATGTTCAAATTAACATGTGTCCGTTGCTTAGAGTCCAGGTGGGAGAGGGCTATAAATCTGGATATAAAAGAAGGTCAAGGTCCATAAACTTCATCAAATGGTGAAACAAGCCCATGCATGACTCCCCAAAAGATTAAGAACCACTGACAGGAGACAGCATCAAAATAGAAGGAGCACACTTGGCACAATCAGCTCCAATTCTAAAGCCCCACAAGCTATAGGGATAAAGAAGAAATTATAATACCATTTAAAAAGCAAAACAAAACAAAAATCAACCCATAAGAGAACAAACCATAATAGCACAGTAAAATAAGAATATGACCCTGAAGAATGAGAATTTATAATGAATCCCGGAAAGAAGACAAATGAAATTGAAGAAACCACAGCTCAAACACAAGCAGAAGAAAACAGCACACCATAGGAGCAGTTCCAGGGATAGTCCATGTTTAATGTAAAGTGGCTATTGCCTGCAGCAAACCTCAAAGTAATAGCATTAGCAACAGCCAGGCAGGTGGATACCCTTCTCCTACTTTTGACAAGCAGGAAAGCAGGCCATCACAGGTATCTGCCTGAGGTAGAAGCACTACACGTAGTGAGTCAAGGAGCCAAACAATGCTGGACACACAGAGGAAGAACAGGAAATCCAACAAGTCCTGGTCCTCGCCCCCACAATCCCTAGACTCAGGCTTTATAGCATTTAAACACAGACTTACCAAGTATCCAAAAAAAGCGTATATCCAAAAATCCAACATTTGAGATAAGTAAGCATTACGAAAGCTAAGCATCAAAATCAACAAACAGAAGAACTAATACCAGGAAACCAAAACCCGGTGTCGTCAAGTCAATTCTAACTCATAGCTACCCTATAGGACAGAGTAGAACTGCTCCACAGGGTTTCCAAGGAGTGGCTGGTGGATTCAAACTGTTGACATTTTTGGGTAGCAGCCAAGCTCTTATCCACTGTGCCTCCAGGGCTCCGATACCAGAAAACAGAAATAAGAATTAGCATCTTCAGAGGACTAAGATAAGTGAGAGCAGCCAGAGAGAATGTATAACCTAGAGGTTAAGAGCGCGGGTTCTCGAATTTACTGCCTGGGTTTGAATCCTAGTTCTATGCTTACTAGCTAGCTATGTGACCATGGTTAAGCAAGTGACTTACATTCTCTGTGCTCTAGTTCCTTCATCTGTAAGACAGAGATAACAGTAGAAACTATCATATAAGGCAATTATGCTGAGTAAAAACATAAGTGTTTCTCAAGCACTTAGAGGCTACTAATATTAATGAAATATCTAAGATTCTGAATGCCAAAAATATGGCATTCTTATCTCTAAAACAAACTCTTTAATCTTTCTACATTAATCCTTCAAATGTTTCCCAAAACCTACAGAATAAAATTCCAACATTTTAAGGCTCCCTTTTCCTTCCCATCCCCACCCTGAAGCGGCCCCTGCCTACCTACCTCTTTTTCACCTTATATTCCTATTCTGGCTCTTCCCTGAACACATACTGTTCATGCTGTTGCATACTCCTATACCTTTGCACAAACTGATCTTCTTGCCTGAAGAGTAAATTACCCTTCCCTATCCTCCCCCTACACCTATCTACCTATCTTTCAAGACCTACATCAAAAGACACCTTGTCCTAAGCCTTAACTCTCCTTTTCAGATGAGGATCACTGAGTGGAAAAACTGTTGAACACTCCACTACCAGCTGAAAGGTTGGTGGTTTGAACCTACCCAGAGTTGCCTTGGAAGACAGGCCTGGCAATCTGCTTCTGAGAGGTCACACACAGCCTTGAAAACCCTATGAAGCAGTTCTACTCTGCACACATGGGGTCGCCATGATTCGGAGTCAACAAGATGGCCAACGAACAACAATAATCCTTTTTGGTTAAGAGTCTATAACTCTGCTGTATCCTGCTCTTTACCTTCTATCTCTTCCAAACCATCCAACATACTAAATAGCACTAATGTACCTATTTGCCTCCTCCACTGGATTAGAAGGTCTTTGAAAGCAGAAATGTCATCTTAAGTGTGTAACAATAACAACAAACAGTGAACATTTAAAGAGTGCTTACTACGTATCATGCACTGTTTTATTTTATATTCACTTGTATTAACTCACTTAATTTTCAGGACAACTCATTCCCAACTTACAGCTGAGAAGACTAACAAACAGGGAGTTAAGTAACTTGCTCAAAGTTGCTCAACTTATGAATTGCAAAGTCAGGAGTCTATCTCATATCATCTGGCCTCTAGGCAAGCCATGAATGAATCAATCTTCCTACCTCGGCACCAGGCACAGTCTCTGGCATATAGTAAGTCCAGTAAATGTCGGTTAAAGCTCCTCTAGAATATTTTATATATGATCCAATTTTAAAACATCTTTTCCATGAATGTCTCCTGAGTAATGTGATTCAGTGCTAGAGTGAGGTTATGAGCTGTGTAAAAATGTTTTAACTTCCACTCTGTTAAGGTAAACTAGTCTTTCCATAGAAATATACTATTCAAGTAGAGAATAATAAAAATAGTAGCACTGGTTTAATTAAACTATCATTTAGTGCACACTCCATACACTTTATTCAATGCTACTTAGGTCCCTCTCTATGTTTTGGCCTATAAAATCTTTCATCAATCTTCTATATAACTCACAAAACCATTCAGTATTATATATAGAAATGAAAAACATCTGCTGCAGTCAAATGAATTCCTGTTCCATTTTATTGTTTTTTAAAAATCCATCTGAATAAGGATTTAATTTTTACAATTACCCATCTCAGCACTTGATCTGGCCCTACCTAACACTGTCTATCTTTCCCATTACATCCTGGCCATAGTGGCCTTACTTTTGTTTCTCCAACATGCCAAGCTTGGTCCTGGCCTGAAGGAATGCTTTTAATCCAGATCTTCACAGGGTTAACTCCTTCTTGTCATCTGTCACTTCAAAAACACCTTCTTTCACTTCAAATTTATAGCAATGGCCCTATACATGTATACCCTATAAATACACACCAGCCATTAGCTAGCATATTACTTAAGTTTTTCACAGCCTTTATAACTGAAATTTAGACCCCTCAGAGGCACAAACGGTTTGCACTTGACTGCTAAATAAGGTTGGTAGTTCAAACCTACCCGGCAGTACCATGGAAGAAAAGGCCTGGCGATTTGCTTCCGTTAAGACTGTTGTCAGTTACAGATGAGTCAATTCCAACTCATGGAGTCCCTGTGTGAACAAAGTAGAACTGCTCCATAGGCTGTGACCTTTCGGAAGCACATCACCAGGCCTACCTCCTGAGGTGCACTTCTGAGTGGGTTTGAAACTGGGTGGGTTCAAACCACCCATTTTCCGGCTAGTAGTTGAACACTTAACTGTTTGTGCCACCAAGGACTCCGTTAAGATTACAGCCAAGAAACCTATGGAGCAGTTCTGCTCTGTAACACATGGGGTCGTCATGAGTCAGAATCGAGTCAGTGGCAACTACCAACAACATAACGGAAATTATCTTGCTCTTTTTGTTTACTTGTCTGCTTGCCATTCTGGAAAGTAAGGTTCCATTACAACAAGAATTCTGCCTATATCGTTAACACATGGTACTGTGTCTGGCACACAATTATCACACAATAAATATTTGTTGAATGTTGAGTAAATGTTGAAGGTATCAGAAAGTACAAAAAGCATTTGTTTTACCATAGTTTAGATATGCAATAAAAGTCCACAAAATCAGTGCTTTTAAAAATTCTAAACTATACGGTATCTTAATTTATCACGTTTTCCCACAAAAATACATAATAAAATAATAGTAAGATAGAAAAATGAAAGGATAGAAGTATACATAAAAAAAGTCAAGACTAGATAAAAATGCACAAAAAGAACATAGGTCATAAGAGCCTGTGAGTTCAAACTTCAAATCTGACTTCATTTCCCAGCAATCAAAGCAAAAAAGAGAAGGGAGGAACAGCATCTCTCTCAACACAAAGGACAAAAAAATGCCATCTCCTCAATCAAATTAAGTTTTGATAGAAAGTAATATCAACACCTGGCAGTGTTTTTAAAGTAAAAGAAAGTACAGGTATTAAGTGCAGTGATTCTAACATGAATTTTCTTAAAATACAGTTTTATCCCCAAAACTAATTTTTTTTGGTAAGAATCATACTATTTTATCTTTTTATAGGTTTTAGAGAAACGTACCACCTCAAGGCAACAGCAACAGAATGAGGAACAGGAAGAGTGAGGAAAGAATAAGTTAGCAGGTGACAGAAAGAATATGCAAGCAGTCAGTGTCAGATTTTGGCATTCCTAAACATCTTCCCAAGCACACTGAATCCCCCCACAAAACTGGTATTATAGTTGAGAACAAGCATTTCTGACCAGAGATTCCATAACAAATATCAGGTATGCTGAAGGAAATATTTACAAACAACATCAATCTTATACTTATGTCTGGGATGGTTTGGTACACAGAGGCAGAGGCCAGTCAATGGAACCCAGTAATGATGATCTGCAACCAAAAAGATCAGAAAAACAGTAAAAACAACAGTAAAGAAAAGGAGCCCAATAGATATATCAAATACACTTTAAAGAGTGTTAACTACAGGTAAACACTCAATATGAAATAATTTATTACCAATCTTAAGGTTGGCTACGTTCCTGAAAAGCTGGCAAAACCAGCAGTTGACAATGCCGAAGTGCCACAGGAAACAGAGGGGAGACAGGATTTTCAACCTTTCCGGGTGAGGGTCTCTGAGAACCTGATGAAAGCTAC